GTTGTAGAGGATCAGAGGATCTGATTGGCTGGTTGTAGAGGATCAGAGGATCTGATTGGCTGGTTGTAGAGGATCAGTAGATCTGATTGGCTGGTTGTAGAGGATCAGTAGATCTGATTGGCTGGTTGTAGAGGATCAGTAGATCTGATTGGCTGGTTGTAGAGGATCAGTAGATCTGATTGGCTGGTTGTGGAGGATCAGTGTATCTGATTGGCTGGTTGTAGGATTAGAGGATTTGATTGGCTGGTTGTAGAGGATCAGAGGATCTGATTGGCTGGTTGTAGAGGATTAGAGGATATGATTGGCTGGTTGTGGAGGATCAGTGTATCTGATTGGCTGGTTGTAGAGGATTAGAGGATATGATTGGCTGGTTGTAGAGGATCAGTAGGTCTGATTGGCTGGTTGTGGAGGATCAGTAGATCTGATTGGCTGGTTGTGGAGGATTAGAGGATTTGATTGGCTGGTTGTAGAGGATTAGAGGATTTGATTGGCTGGTTGTAGAGGATTAGAGGATATGATTGGCTGGTTGTAGAGGATCAGTAGATCTGATTGGCTGGTTGTAGAAGATTAGAGGATATGATTGGCTGGTTGTAGAGGATTAGAGGATTTGATTGGCTGGTTGTAGAGGATTAGAGGATTTGATTGGCTGGTTGTAGGATTAGAGGATTTGATTGGCTGGTTGTAGAGGATCAGAGGATCTGATTGGCTGGTTGTAGAGGATCAGAGGATCTGATTGGCTGGTTGTAGAGAATCAGAGGATCTGATTGGCTAGTTGTGGAGGATTCGAGGATATGATTGGCTGGTTGTAGAAGATCAGAGGATCTGATTGGCTGGTTGCAGAGGATCTCATTGAACAGAAGCAGGAGGTTTCTTGTTGATCTCTTGCAGCTGGGTGGCGATGCGTGATGTCTGCAGCAGCAAAGCTTGATGGTTTTCAACTAGCAGACTCTGGTGTCGAGCCAGGTTCTGCAGATTCTTGATCTGCTGGGAGCTCTGAGGACACAAAGCCAAAACCAGATGAGTTTGGACAAACTGGATCAGGATTATCATGATCCTTATTATTTGGCTAATCTTATGGGACCAGTAGGTTTTTAAGCTGCTGAACAAACACTTGAAGTAGATCCAGGTGGTGTAAACCACATTAGAACAGTTTCCTATGAACCAGTAAAGTTTTGTTTTGCCCACCTGAGATCTCAGTATATTTTCAAACTGATCCAATAAATGAAAGTAAATCTATTTTGTCTGAACTATGAACATTTATGAAAACAAACCAGAGATATGTAAACCTAAACCTGAGACAAACTAAGCTACAATAAACTCATTTAAAAGTCGGACTCACCTGACTTCCCAGAAGGCCGAGCTGTTGAACCACCTGGACCTGATGTTTGGCAACCTCCTCTTGGATCTGCACTAGACGGGTCAGCATATTCAAAACCTTCATTCTCCACACATCTTCTTGTGGACTGTTGTGGATCAGCTCAGACGAGTCAGGGGCAGAACTTGGTTCAGCAGGGTTGACCTTGAAATGGTCAGGAGACTGGGCAGCACCCATCATCATGGCACTGGGTTGGTTGTCATTGAAATCACCTGCAGTGAAGACGACTGAAGTCAAGAGTTTTCATTCAGTTTTTATTGTAGAGTCACACACACGTGTTTACAGGACGGCTTGCTCTGATTGGCTCTAACATGTTTGCTGTTCAGCATCAGTGGACTGTTTCACACTTGATCAGGATCTCCTGGTTTTAAAGCTTAACAAGTGAAGATAGGTTACAGATGAATTCCTGAAAAACTGAACCACTTAGACATCAGTTCCAGCTGGTCCAACAGTTACAAATAGAAGCTCAGGCAGAAACAAATTTGGTGATGAAAACAAGAGAATTTGTAGCTGAAGTAAAAAACCAGCTTGGATCCAGAACAACACCTCATTATTGTAGAAAAGGCTCCAATCAGTTGGTCCATGTCTCGCTCCATCTGTCACACAGGAACAAGACTTGCAGTTAACTGAACTCAGACTCACTTCTGACTTACAGAGAACATTCAGAACCACAGTCTCAAAGTGAGACCAGCTGAGTCTCATCCCAGCTGTGAGCTGTCCCCGTGCATGCTAAGGTCATGGCCTGAAGACCCCCACCATCTCACATGATTCAAGGAATGTGGCTGTAAGGTTTCTTTAGAGCCACAAAAAACCAGTAGACTGCAGAGTCCAACGCTCATGAGCCACAAGCAGGGGGCTCTGTGTGGAGGATGGGTTTAGACTGAAGTCTACCAGATGTGATGAACAAACTCGTATCTTAACAGCTGGACTGAGCAGGTGTTTCCAACAAGAACTTATATTAAAGTCATAGATCCCTGATCGGATCAATAAACTGAGAAAAAGATTTAGTTTGAAGCTTCATGTGGCATCTGTAGACTGTCGTCACAGAGTTTCACAACCAGATGAAAACAGAAGTGAAACTGACCACACACACACAAACACACACACATACACACACACTGATGAACTGTGTGTTTCAGTGTGTGTGCTGTGTACATGTTCTCCTGGTGGAAACAAAGTTCAGACGGTTGATCAGTCGTCAGTAACATGTCCAGCTCCATCTTCTGCCCCACCTAACCCTAACCCTCTGTAGTCTGGGTCTTTCCTGGGCCTGCTACCAGTAGGACAAGTCCAAATCAACCTTTAAAGGGAGGAATCCAAATCAGATGAAACACCTCAACTGACTCCTTCAATGCAGAGGAGCAGTGGCTCTACTCTGAGCTCCTCACCCTATCTTTGAGGCTGAGCTCAGCCACCCGAAGGAGGATGCTCATTTCTGCCTCTTGTATCCTAGATCTAGTTGTTTCAGTCATGATCCACTCCTCATGACCACAGGTGAGGGTAAGAACAAAGAGAGTCAGCTCTTTCTTCAGTACTACCAACTGAAGCTACGCCCTCATTACTGAGGATGGTTGATCCACAACATTCACCCTGATGTCCAGAAGCTTCAACTCCTTCACATGAAGCAAGATATAATACATGGCATCGATAAAAACTTCTTTTAAAACTGTGTCCTGATGTGAGCTAACAAGACAACTGAGGATAAGTATTAACAATACCTGCACAGGTAAATAAAATGAGGATACACAGGTCTACAGGAGACTATCAGCCCTCACCGCAGGTCTACAAGAGACTATCAGTCCCCAGAGTAGGTCTACAGAAGACTATCAGTCTCCACAGCAGGTCTACAAGAGACTAACAGTCC